GCTACCCCACCGCCCCTACCCCGGGTCCTCGGCTGATGGAATACCTGGAAACCCGGCGGGCAAATATCAACGAGGGGCACTCCCCCTTCCATGCCCAGCCAGGTCTCGGTGATACCTGCCAGGTCCGCACCCCCCTCTTGAATAAGGTCTTGGATGAGGGGGGCCTTATTTACCACGGACCTGGCGTTGCATAACATCATTCTTATAGTCTTTGTGATGCCAAGCGTTTAGCTAATGACCGTGTTACCGGTCTATTCAGCTCCCTCCCCCCTGTAGTTAATTGCTGTGCTGTTTCCGTTGCACTCGTTGACGGCTGTTTAAATTTAGGCATCCTGCTCCTCCTCACGCCCCGCCTCTGTGGAGTGTGTATTCTGCCGTGAGCAGTCATCTCGCTGCTTTTCTGGTGTTTGCATATGCGATGCTGCTAGCTGAAACGGTGTGGCTAGCTGATGAGAGCAAAATGAGCTCGAAATAGCTATTCTAGTCTCCCACTTAATTCTTTGTCAGCAAAAAGAAATGTGAATTTGTAATGTATTGCAGTAGCGACTTGAGCCTGCTTAACGCCCCTAGTTGGGGGGCTGCAAGGCAAAAGTGATTATAAAAAAAGTAGAACTGCAGTATAGCAGTCAAAATGCCAAGGTGCAATCAATCAGACTGGTCTGTCTGAAAAACTTCCTGTATATACTCCCTTGACTCGGCTGACAAACAGAGGAGGAGAGCCGGTGGCCTGGTGGTTAATACAACTGCCTAGCATGTAGGCTGCCTAACTCTTTGTCAGCAAAAAGAAATCTGAATATATATATATATACTGTATATCCAAATTTCTTTTTCTGACAAAGAGTTAAAGAATTAAATTGGGAGACTAAGATGTTTCGCAGTTGCGACTTAAGCCTGCTTAATGCCCCTAGTTGGGGGGCTGCAAGGCAAAAGATATTGTAAAAAAAGTAAAACTGCAGTATAGCAGTTAAAATGTCAAGGTGTAATCAATCAGACCAGTCTGTCTGAAAAACTTCCTGTGTATGTATGCACGTACGTACATACGTATGAATGAAACTAATGGCCACTAGAAACTAATGGCCACTAACTGTAAAATGAAATTTATTTATATTTAACTTTTCAGATTTGCCAGTCTTTACGCCAGTCTACATTCTAATAGGTTTATGTGTGTATATTTCTATTATTGTTTAACCTAAATGGGTTTGCATGAAAACCTTTTTCAAATTTAAAAGTTAACATGTAGATTTCAAGGAAAGTTAAGCATGTATCTGAGAATCATGGTAGGGTTCTTTTTACTTTAGATAGCTAAAAGTAATCTGCAATTGACAACTTGGTAAAATCTGAAAGAATTCAAAATAGCAGAGCGTACCATCGGATGTGTCTGTCTGTGGAGTGTTTCCCTCAGATAAATTAAAAGTTCCATTGTCAGTCCAAGATATCTCTGAGATATCAGTGTCTGATACGGACAGCTCCTTGGCTGCAGTTGCTGAGCTAACCTGTAGATTGAAAAAAATCAAACTATCAAACATACTGCAGACTAAATATTGCTTCAGTACACATTATTTTAAAAACCATAAGCATGATGCTGTCATTAGAGAGAGAACAGTTGCTTTTTTATTTAGGCGATGGAGATATACCAACAAATATTTAAATGTTGATATATTTAGGTCTACTTTTTTTCTAAAGACAACCTTCTTAGATCAAGAGATTTAGACAAAAATGTAACTCCTTTTTTTTATTCTGCAATACTGTACATATTTATGTGGAAAAAATCGCACCGAGTGCACGGTACAGTAGTCAAAGGTTAGCTTATTCTAGAATTCCACCTCATTTTTATAAAGGGATGGAGCAGAAATTTGTTCTGTGAAAGCAAATAAAAGTTCATGTGCTCCACTGTCATCAAAAAAACTTTTTTTTTTAAAAAAAAAAATGATGTAAGAACCAACCAACCTTAGGGCATAAAGCTGATAAGTCTAGTTCACTGTCATCCTCACTTGGTTTTGTTTTGATCATTTCTGGGGGGAAAAGAGTATATCAGTTAACAATTTTTGCTTATTATGCCAATCAAGTATTTCTATTTTTATTTATTTGCTATACTGATAAAAAGGTATACATTATAATTCAGTTTTGCCCTTCAGCCCCAATTTGCATTTAAAATCAGCAGATCAGGTGTATGAGCTTTACATCTGTCTACTTATGTATATGGCATTCCACATGGAAAGATCATGAATTGTTATAGGAAATAAAATATAATTAGGCTTTGAAGCTTTATTTTTATCTTTCATAAAGATGCTAAGAATATTTTTGTAATTGCATATTTCAGTGGATAAGATGCCATCTTTTTCAATATTCATCAAGGAAGCTGAAATTGCCAGTTGCTCACCTGCTCTCTCTTTTAACTTTTGGTTGATAAAGTCTTGTATTCCAAAGTTCAGTTTCAGCAGATATGACTTAATGTGGCTATATACCTTTTGTCCAAATTCATTGCACTTGAAGAATGAACATAAAAAGGCACATAATACTGTCAAAGAAAGAATAAATTATTGTACAGAATGTTATACTTTTGAGCCACACTGCTTTGAAACACATAAAATAACTATGTATCAGTTTAAGTTACATAAAAACAATTTGCAGATTTTCAGGGGAAAACGTGGTTACATTCATACTTAACAGCTAGTGTTAAAGGCCAGATGACTATAAATTCTAAATGACCTTTGGCAAGCTTTGGTTATTAGTCTTAATCTGCAAAACTGGAATAATAACATGGAAATAAATACATTGACATAATTGTTGCACAAATGACTGGTATGTTTATTATGTGCAGTCATCTGAATACTAACAATGGAATTGTATGCATTTCTGATTGTAATTAAGACTACTGTTTAGAAGAACACGCACTCATTAGAAGTGCATCAACATAATTTGTAAGGAAATAAAATTTAATAAAAGTACTTTAATTTGTCAGTAACCTTTTAATTAATTGTTTTATTTGTTTTATAAAGGACTTTCAAATTATTACACTGAAACATACTAGCAATAGCAATAGCACTTAGAGTTATATACCACTTCACAGTGCTTTAAAGCCTTCTCTAAGCAGTTTACAGAGTCAGCAAATTGCCCCCAACAATCTGGGTCCTCATTTTATCCACCTCGGAAGGATGGAAGGTCGAATCAACCTTGAGCTAGTGAGAATTGAACTACTGGCAGTTGGCAGAATTAGCTTGCAATACTGCATTCTAACCACTGCATCACCAAGGCTGTATTATACAAATATTATACATTTGTATAATATTATACAAATACCTTCAGCAATTATTGTATTTCTCAGGACTTCAGTCACAATACAATGAGGAAAATGCCATTTTTTTTCTTCTTAGCACACATCTTATTGCAATTATGAATACTGTGTGACTATGGTTAGATATTGCATTGGGCATCTATGACGCCACCAAAGAAATCCCAGAGCCGATTCTTTATGTGTTTGAAAGAACTTACATAGAAGATAGGAGAGTACAATTCCAGGAACGTAACTTCCCAACACTGTGAAGAATGTGCATATGCTGCAGACCAGAAGGCAAAACTGTTTTTTAAAAAGACAAGCATGAATTAAATCAGTCGGTAACATTCAGTACCTATAACATAATACATTTGTTAATGTGTCCTGAGACTGGACCTGTAGAATGTTCCATCAGAATTTCTTCTTCCCTAAAACAGTTGGAAACTGTTCCAACTTCCTAAAATGTTTCTAGTTGGAAATGTTTTAGGGAGAACAGACAGGGAACAGAATCTGTATCATATATTGTAGATGGGAAAAGCATAGGGAAGAACAAAGGAATGTTGTTTTGTCCTTTTTCTTTCTTCCTCAAAAGTAAGAATAGGAATAACCAAAGGTGTCTTCTGCTACTGGTTCACTCTGCTTAGTGGCTCTAGTTTAGGGGATCAGTCACGGAGAGAATCCTAGCACTGTGGCATGAGAGTTTACAATAATAGTTCTTAAATTGGCTATGAAGATAACTGTGAATTGGCTATGAAGATAACTGACCACTAGCACTTTGATTTTTCAGATACTCTTTAGTATTATGAGATATATACAGTATGTGTGTACAATTCTCAATTAGGTTAGTTGGGTGGGGGTGAGGAAATATAGAAATTATGTGACTCCTTACTATTTTTAGCCTTAGCTTGGCGTACCCTCTTTGGGCACAAACACTATTTTGGAAATGTCCATATACAGATAGCCCATTATAGAGACATTATCTATTTATTTTGTAGAAGGGAGCCCCAACAGACAAAAAAACCCCACAAAAAAATAATAGGACGTCTGATTTCATATAAAGATGCACTATTTCTAGATCTTGCAGGAAAACAATTTGCGAAGTCTGATTGTGATTAAGCTTAGAACATCTCATCACTTCAAGCAGTACTGTATGATACAAAGGTGCAGAAGAAAATATTATATGCAGAATTGGGGTATGAACGTTAAGCACAACTGAGGATCATAGCAATAGCACTTAGACTTATATACCACTTCACAGTGCTTTACAGCCCTCTCTAAGAAGTGTACAGAGTCAGTATATTGCCGCCAACAATCTGGGCCCTCATTTTACCAACTTTGGAAGGATGGAACCTTGAGCTGGTGAGATTCGAACTGCTGACAATTGGCACTCAGCAGAACTGGATTAGTGCATTCTAATAACTGCACCACCATGGCTCTTGTTGACTTTCTAGCACCCTCTGTAACACTTCAGTTGATATTAAAGTTTTTTTGGGGCTGCATATACACAATCTATTACTATTTCATAGAAATGCCTTGGAATATTTGTCTGTGTTTAATCATTCAATTGGACAACTTTTTTTACTGTTAATGCTACTATAAAACATTTCATAATTTCTTATATTGCATGCCTATAATACTACGTTCTATTGAACTTAATATGACTTACTTATACAGAGCTATGTGAAAAGATAAATCTTTTCCACCACTGAAATAATAGAAAATACTTGTAGCTCAGGTTTTAGATTTTGGTAGTGGTTTGCTCTCCAAGCTTGTTTCAATATAGTTTCTAAATGTTTCATTATCAAACTAAGTAACATCATCAAAATAATTTTCTTGTCCTATTCTCCTTAGCTTATAAATATCTTGTGTGCCAGTGTGGTCATGCAATTGGTTGTTTGTTTGGAGCTAAATTTAAATTCTGAGCAGCTAATACTACTACTATTACTACTACTACTACTAATAGTAAAGTTGGAAGGGATGTTGGAGGTCATCTAGTCCAACCCCCTGCTCAGGCAGGAAACCCTATATCATCTCGGACATTGGTTGATTGGTTCTCTTATTGATTGGCAGTTCGAATAGTCTGGTTTTTTACATATTCATATGCTGAATCTAAATCAATATGCTTGTTAATTGGTCCTTTGGTAGAATACCAGGACTCAATAAATTCACATGTGTGGCGGGTGGTGGCATGTCCAATGATTTTTGTTCCTTACCAATCGAATAGGTGTAGTTTATTATCAATGTGGTTTGAGATCAGGGATTTTTGGTCATGCTGTTTTCCACCATTCCTTGCTGGTGATTTCATGGATGTATCTAGGTAAGGTTTGGATTTTGTTTTTTTAGCAACAGAACAAAAGTCCTTTGCCGTTGCCATCTTCCAGGATGTTTTTAACTTCATAATCTAGTTTACGGATCTGGCATTCCCTAATACTAATTCAATTTATTTACTAATCCAGCATACACATAGGTTGGAATGTTAAGTTTTTTTACATAAGAATATTGCCAAAAGTAAAAAAAAAAAAAAAGTCAGTGAAATGAAATGGAAGATATTGCAAGCCTAATTTTACCTTGCCAGGGTTCTGTTCTTTAAAATGAGACATTTCTTGGAGGAACAAAAAGAAACTCATCATTGCTTCTTCTATACACTGGTTCAGTCTAAGACGATTTTCAGATTCAGACTCACTGACTTGGTAGCTGAAAAAGACAAATAAATAAATGAACAAAGAAACATGAATTCATGGGTTTTCTAATGAAAACATTCTCTACACTTGCAGAAATGTATAGACTCTTATTTCTTAAAATTCATTAATTCTCCTTACTACATCTTATATAATATATGCCATTGTGAAAGACTGGAATGAGATCGCCAGATTTTATTTGGCACATGACTTTTTTTTTAGCTTCAGAGATAAAATATTTCCTGAAATTTATGAAAAATGTTATTATAAGAATATATTCTACAGAGAACAATATAACTGCTACCTAATTGTGGACGTCCCAGGAAAAATCTTACAATTCAGGAGACTATTGGAGCTGTGGAAGGAGGGTTTCACATCTATTAAAAAAAAATACCCCTGCAATTTAGAATCATAGAAAATGATGAAGCCTATAATGGTGTCACTGGAACAGGTGAGGCTGGAATTTGTTACCCAAATTTCTTCCATTTTAAAATTTTATTTCATATTTAAAAAACAAGAACATTCTACCACTATCATTTGGTGGTTTGCCACTGAATTTCGGTGTATGACTTCAGAAATCTGGGATTAAATGTAGTCCAGATCTATACCCACCTTTCTCTTCCTGAAAAATAAATCAAAAGCTCTTAGTAACAATCTTTGCTCTTTTGTTGAATGACCTACCTTAAATTTATTTTGCCTGTCTACCCTTTAATTAATCGTCTACTTACCATCATTTGACTAGTGATTTTCTCTAACTTTAATATCTAAATCCTTCAAATTAACCCATCTACTTTGCTTTCTAAAGGTATGTTCCTTGCTATTCTTCTTTCTGTTCCTGCTCCTTCAAAAGCTACTCTCAGAGCTTTTGTAAGCTTAGGGCAGGATTGGCCCTACACATATTCTCCCCTCTTAGCACTAAAAAGGTAAACACCTTATAAACTCAGGTTTATAGTTTCTATTTCTACAGTATGTGCACCAGGAAGAGATACAATTTAGTATTAATAAGAGATAGCACAAACAAATTAAATTATCATAGTTAAGGATAATACTAAACTTTATACTGCTGCTAATATATTAAGATATCAAAGTATCTCTTCCACAGCGATATAGTTGCATTATAGTTTCTTTTCAGACAAAGAGTACTGATTAGAATTCACAAGGCATTTGATAAAAGCAATGATTTTTTTCAACTATTTCTATCTGATCATAACCAAATGTGAAACCAAACACAGACTCTTGTGTCTTTAGTTTCTCTTCTTCACTTGGAATATTGTGTTACATGTGCAAACATGATCATCTGTTTTAAAATGTAACATTAAAATGACCCATTTTGTACCTTTCCTCGAATAGAATAAAGCATCTGATATTTTTTTTTAAATGACAGATGAAACAGAGTGGATGGCAGAATTGTATCAGTTCATACCAATATCACTTTGTTGGTGGCTTTACATCCAAGGTAATATGCACAAAACTCATTACTTAAGTTTGGACTTATGAGAACTATGAGTTCCAAGATACACAGGTATTCTGTACAGTACTAAACATAGGACCACTTATTAACCCCAAATACATCAGACGCGATGTGGAAGATAGGCACCCAAAAGGCCACAGCATACACTAAAGATTCTAGCCATAATAGTAATTTAAAAATTAGAACTTACTGAATGAGGAAACAGAACATGAATATCAAAATAATGCAATAAAACACAGAATACTGGCAAGGAAAAGAATTATATGGTCAATTTCTAACAAATGGTTTTAGGGAAACTGGACAAAGATAAAACCTGACAATGGAACATTAAACAAAGAAACTGAAGGCTTGGTTTTGGCTGCTCAAGAGCTATTTAAACTAATGCAATCAAGATAAGAGAATAATCATCAAATGATTACAAGTGCAGATTATGCAAAGAAGCAGAAGAAAAGTAGTTCATAAGCTTGTGCAAGAAGTTAGAAAATCTGTGCATTGACAAAATTTCCAACTGTCAATTATAAAAGGCCACAGTGCTTGGATCCACACATATGCTATATTGATACATTATGACATCCCAGGTTCTTGAGAAGAATTTGATGGTTATGAAGACCAACGCTAGCTAATCAACTAGTGGCTGTGACTTTATATTGTTGTTAATAGATAATAACAATACTGATGATGCTACTTGGTTGGCTAATAAAACCTTTGCAAGCAAACAGCAAGAACACCACAACAATAGTAACAAGAAAACAATAATAACAACTGCCTCTTCCATTATGTATTAAAAATAGAGAGTCCTGCTGCCTATGTCAATGCCAATTATATCCAATTTTCCCTTTTTGTGGACAGACCTTTGGCAATTTAGTGACATTTCCTTGCATGTCTATTCTAAGCTAATCCTGTCCAACTTGAGAGACTACACTTGTTCATACCAATAGAAATATTTAGCAGAGGGAGCCAAACAAGAATGTTTTCCTCTAAGCTTCTGGCTTTGTTCTGTGGTGAAAGAGCTGCTTAACTCAGGGCTGAAGTGCCTCATGCCCAAACGGTCTCCTAGCAGTTAAGACAAGCAGATGCTGCAGCCCATCACAGTTCCAAATGCTGACCAGGAGATTCGGTTCCATCAGGTTCTCTGAAAATGACTAATGCTCTCATGCTGCCAGTGTGTAACCTGACATCTGCTCCAGGCAAAATAAACCACTGGGTTTTTCTTAGAAAGGTCAATAACATCTCATGTTACTGGAAAGAAAGAAAGAAAGAAAGAAAGAAAGAAAGAAAGAAAGAAAGAAAGAAAGAAAGAAAGAAAGAAAGAAAGAAAGAAAGAAGAGAAGAGAAGGAGGAAGGGAGTCTTCCTGAGGTTTCCCATAATTTTGTAGTTACATGAATTCGTCACAGTACTCATAAATGATGCCCTTGCTTTACTCCACATTAAAGTGAATTAATGGCATGATGTGGCAAATAAGGGATTATAAAAACATAAACAAATGTTAGTAGTTAGCTTCCGGTTATATCAACAACTCTAGGTAATTGTCTCAGGACTGAGAGATGAACAATCAACTTTTAATCTAGTGACACAGTCTTATTTGCTTCCTTTCTCATATTCTTTACCTCAGTAGACTTTACTTCTCTGGAAATCCATTCTTTCCTGTGAATTAATGGATATTTTAAAATCTTAGCTGAACACAGAAAAACAAGTAAAGAAATAAGAGCTGAAGGGAGAAAATAGTTATTACCACTTGTACTGGTTCTCATGGGAACAAAGAGGATAATCTATCATGCCTAGGCCTCATATTCATAAAAAGCAGGGCTTCTTTTGTCATAGAACGCCCAGAACGGAGTTCCGGCACCTTTTTTGGATGGAACCTTGTAGGGTAGGCAAAGCGGGTTGTATGACATGTGTGAGTTCTGGCACTTTTAGCACTGATAAAAAGTACAAGAAAAGCAACAAAAAGAGACAGTCCCAGGACCATGGACTTGGTTATACCTCAGGAAAACATTAATTGAGTGTGGGAAACTCCTGAAACTTCTATTTGTCCTGATGAAACCTCTCATTCATACACCCTAAAGCTCCCTTCAAAATATTTCAATAGAAAGACAAATCCTTTATTGCTGTCCCTGCCCATTAAATTATACAGCTGTTGAATCTGTGGCAAATTTCCCTGAAAATTATATATCTTTGTTTCAGAGACAAGACTGTTTCAATCCTTGTACTATTACTAATAAACCAATGGCACAGCACATGAGCATTTAAATAATTTTCAATAGTTTGATTCTGTGAAAATGTGTGATGTACTGTAAATCATTTCTGATATTACTGCAAACGGCTATTGCATGTCCTGAACCTTTGTAAAATAGTAGCAGCCACTGTAATTCATAATATTAAACATTTTGGTCCCTGCACTTCTGCCAGTCATGAGATAGGAAAGCACAGGCAAGGGATATATTATTCATGTGGATATCCAATCAAGCAGAAATGGCTAACTGCTGACCAACAAATTTTAAATAATGACTTCCCTGTTCCATTTGTTCACCCATTAAGCACTCATTTTCATGCCAGCAAACCAGCATTTAGTGTTCACTAAATACTAAAGCAGTATAATAACACCAAATATTTTATTTTTCTCTTGATTTGAATACATGATTAATCCCATTAATACTTCCTGACGCTTACTGAAAGACTGTTTTAACACAAACTACAAATGATGCTGTTAAAGGATAGTGGAAGCAATCGTCTTTTGAACTCTAAATTATCTAGACTTGCCTTGTCCCTGAGTTATGTTCAAGTAACAGAGCATCATCATTTCTTATATTAAAAATATATATATACAAAGCAGTAAAACGCTGCATATTCATGGGATTAAAATTAAGTATATTTTAACACAGATTTTTTTTAAATTATGGTTATTTGGCATTAGCGTGCAAAAGAATACTTTAAAACACAAATTGGATATTGTGAAATATATCCAACTGTATATAAATTTTAGCTAAGCTACAGAAGTCTCACTAAAATCATACAGGGGTAAGCTTGTTATTGTGATGCCTATCCTCTGCAACATCGTTCCCCTTGGTATTCATATGGCCCTTAACACTTGGCTCTATCCTTAGCCTTAGGTTAGAGAGAATGATGGACATCTTCTACTTCTGTTCTTTTAAACAAATTGTTTCCCCCCTCCCCCATTTAGTAGGTGAGGTTTGCATTTTATAGTATACCTACTTACTGTCCACAGTCATAACAGATTAGGATAGTCCAGGGGTGTCAAACTCGCAATGTCACATGACGTGTCGTGACGTATCACAACTTTTTTTCCATTGCCCACAATGGGGTGGGCGTGGTTTCGCCATGACGCATCCGGCCCATAGGCCGGCTGTTTGACACCCCTGGGATAGCCTATAAACTTCATAAATAACACACACATAGCAACTCACCTCTAGACTATTTTCAGTGTACTTATATTCTCATTATTTAATCTATAATATTGGTCAGACGTTTTGTTAGAAGTGCATGAAATTGTTACCACAGAAAGGGTTTGTTATTGTTGACTCAT